ATAGTAGATTTATAGCAATTGAGACAATTTGTAACATCTTGAAACATTTAAATTAATAGGAAAAAATAGGAGCTTTCCGACGTTTCCGTGGTGTAGCGGTTATCACATCTGCCTAACACGCAGAAGGTCCCCAGTTCGATCCTGGGCGGAAACAACAAAATTTTTTGTGCTTGATTTGTAACCAAACACAAAAAATTTTCTTTTACTACATTTCTCTTGATAAATTATTGGTATTTTCACTTTTAACATTTATTTTAGTTTTTAAAATGATGACAACCTATTAAAAATGTAGTGGGCGTGTATTTCCTTCTCCTTTTGATTTTCGCACATTTTTAAAATAAAATTATGTGCGACCAGGACTATGAAAAATCTAATCTAAGTATAGTGAAATATTTATATCATAATATTCTTTCTGCAGTAATGCAAAATATTCCTTTTGCAGTAATGCAAAATAGACATAAAAACATAGAAAAAATGGTACAAATAATGGTATTCTACCTCCAATTTAGTAGAAATGAAAGATAATTGTATTATACTGGGTGATAGAGGTTAGTTACACTCATTATCTCGGAAAGTATTAAATTTTTTCGGGATTTGTTTTCTAGAACATTTAAAAAATATGCAGCTCTAAAATTGTATATTTATGTTATTATTTGTAATCAGTCTGCATTTTTTGCAATTTAGTTGCGTTATACTTATATATATATATAACATTTTATACTCAAGTCGGTCATTTAAATACAATTCAAACGAATTTTATAATTCCAGGCTCCAGGCTCTCATAAAGAATACTACATATCTATACGAGTAGAGAACGAAAAATGTATAAGCGTATGCGTAAACCGATTTTATTTTTAACTGTGCTCTATCCAGGTTCATTCAAAAAATTGAAAAATTCGTAAAAAATATAAAAAAGATTTGCAATTAGCGAAACTCGATTTGTAATTATTCGGTGGTATTTTGTAATCAAACGGACAAAGTGAGGGGGCCAATTTCATGATGGTGGGTGGTTATGATTTTGTAAAAATATTTTTACCAAATTGTTTACAAACCACACTATAAAGTTTTAATTATTGATGTTGCTACCTAATTAAATTAAGTTATAATATATCATTAAAATTTTAGAACAACATTAGTTTTCACAATTTGCGTTTAAAATATTTGTTAAGTTTTCTCCTAGAATGTGATAAGTCCAGCTTGATTTTTTAAGCTTCTTTGATATTGGTTTTATTATTTAAAAATATGATAGCAATAAAATAATTTAAAGGTAAAAAAAATGTATACATACTTAATTCATTTTGCAAACCGTTCAACTATTAAAATATAATATGAGAAATAACATTTTTATTTGTTATTGGTCTTATTTACAAATTTAATTGAAGTTAAATAATTAATAGAATTCAATATTTATTCTCTTCAATTCGCCTGCCTTAATTATTTAAAGTATATTTTGTAGTAAATGCATAATTTGAATAAACCACGTAATAGTTAGTATTAATAGGCAGTATGCAGTTCTTATTATGTATTATTATAAGTAGATGGTAATGAATGATAATATATGTAGACTTAGTTAACCTAATGTTTTTTTTTTTCTATGGTGTCTGCTAGGCGATGTTTAGTAGGTATTGCAATTAGTAAAATAATTGTTGGTCTATCAAACTATGAATAACATGTATTGACGAATGAATGACAATAGTCAATGGTGATTCACGTGTTTAATAAATTGAAAATATATAACCCACCGATATTTTAGAAACGATTGCCAGTGAAATGTGGTGTTTTATGAGATATATAAGTCTAATAGTCGGCAACTTAGTACCAGAAAATTCGAATTTGGCAACTGTATATTATTCTTAGGCAAATTGTAGACATTGTTTTCAATAAAAGTATAAAGTTTAAAGATATTTTTGTATTAAAAGTTCTCATGTCTGAACATCATGAACTTTATATGAAAGAGTTTAACACCCATTTAAATTCAATGCACTACGATACGCTATACCCAATGATCATACAAAAAATTGGCCCATTATTTCTGATGTGATCAATGCGTTTTTCAACACAAACAAATTAAAGATGCTGCAAATTCAACTTCGTCTAGAAAATGTTAGTTGATAACTCATAGAATAAATGTGTGTTCGAATAAGAAATTATTCGAATGATTTTTGTACAATCATTTTTTTATTCGAATAATTTTCAAACATGAAATTACTGATATAATTTTCGTTTATTTTATTTGGTTAAACAGAGGTTGGTATTTTTAAAATACGCAAACATTAAAAACAATAGTTGGCCTTGTATTTTTCAGTAACACTATTGTAAATTTCATATTGTTTCAATTAAATGCAAATAACAACAACAGTATTGTGCCCAAACAATATTTTTTGTATAGAGCTCAATATTATGTTTGAAAATTATTCGAATACATTTGAATTCGAATAAGTATGAAAAGTTCATCAGAATAATAATTTATTCGAATGTAATTTTATTTAAATAATTATCTAAATAAAATTATATTTAAATAATGCCCAACTCTGAATGTAGATATTAATAAAAAAATGTAACTGCCTTTTTTTTTTCTGAACAACTTTTCTATCAATTTTTTTGGTCCGATTCACAATGATAGTACAATTTATAAAAGAATATTCTAACCGGGAAAATACTTTAAGTTGATCATTTTTTGATTTTTCCAGGAGTATTTCCAATTAATTTGAAAAACATAGGAAAACCGGGAAAAAATTAAATAACAATGTTAATCAAATATTATTAAAGAAAAAGTTGTACGCATATTATTGTAATTATTTTACCATAATGTGACATATATATTGTTGGCAGAGCTACACTATCAACCAAACTCCGCTCAGAATCCTATTTTTGTTATCAATGCCTAATCGTTGCGTACAAATATATATTAATTCGTTTCTACATCTTACTTTCTGAAATTCCCATCTACAACAGTGGCTACACCTGTCCCTATTATTCTACGTCAGATTTTTTACTTAAAACAATAACTCGATTTTTTTTTTTTTAGATTCGAAATGTAGTGAGGGATCTATTGGTTTTATTATTATTTTATAATTATGCGTGATTTTATATTTTTTTTTGTGTCTGTATATAACTTTTCTATCAGAAAAATTGCTCCAAAGTATAGACTGTAGCACTTTTTCTGAAAGGTAATTTTCTCTCGTTTGTGAACTGAGGGGGTCAACTTTCTCAATGGATTTTAAAGTAATCGGGACAAACCCGAAAGAAGTGTGTGGGTAAAATGGCAAATATTTACGGCCCGACGCGACGTTACCGTTTTCACTGTTTTCATTGTGTAATACTTAAGTTTTACATCAGAAATATTACTTCAATCAAAAATTGACAAGAGATTGATTTTGTTCATTTTAACACTTAGGTACTGAAAGAAAAAGTAGTTTTTGATATTTTAAGTTTTTTTAAATAACTAGGAAAAACCAAAAAAGACGAAATGTAAAATTTTTTCAAATGACAGCAAAACGATTTCATTATATTAAATTATTACAGTTTATATTTTCTACCATAAATAGTGCCACAAAAGATAAATGATAAATGACCTATTTTGTTAAATTTTTAATTTAGTTGGTGACCAAGAAAGACATTTTTTAATTTTCTTTTTAGTTATTTTAATAGTTGAACAAAAATAGAAGTACGAGAAAGTGTACCAAAAGTAAGTATTAATTTATTATTTTCAATTTTGTTTTTTAATGTAATTTAATATAATATATTCATAGAGATTTGAAATATTTACAGAAAACTTAAATTTACTTTTTCTAGACCTAGTAAAATTTTCAAAATGTTTGATCCATTTTTTAGCTAATTGTAGACATTTTAATTTCGCGAGGCTTTACGTAATTTTTATTCGTTAGGTATTCGTAGATAAAATTGTTTGACTGAAGAGAAATGCTTGAAAATTTAACAGGCGGTTCCTTAAATTTCGTACTTTGTGGTCAAAAAAAAAAATTGAGTTTTACATAGATTTTTTTTGAGAAATAAAAAGTTTGAAAAGGCGTCCTAGGATAATGAATACGGGAGTCACCACTGTTATAAGTAATTAAATATATTCCTGTAAAGAACGATAAACTATTGCTTACGAAAAAACGATTCTGAGCGGAGTTCAGTCGATAGTGATGCTTTGTGAACAATATATATGCTATATTATAATAAAATAATTAAATAAGTATTATATATTTTCTTTAATAATATTTGTTTAATATTGTACCGATTTCCCCGGTTTTCTTACGTTTTTCCCAGTTTTTCATATTTGCTGAGAAAACTCCGGGGAATATCGAAAAATGACCTCACTAAAGTACCTCCCTTGTGAAATTTCCTTTTAAAAACATTGCAATCAATATAAGTTGAAACAAATTGCTGGTAGACGGTGATAGTTTGTTTCTCAACAGACAATGACAAATCTATAAAAATACCACTTTTACAACCGCTTTTATCTTCTATGATACTAGTTGAAGGCAATTCTCTCTTGTCCAGCCTGAATCCTTCTAACGGTTCACCAGTCCAAATGATTCTATTACTTTAACGTTGTCGGTTAAAGCCACAAGCTGGACCCCCGGAGGCATGTGAAACTCGATAAGAAGGAGAATATCATCATAAAAGATGTTCCGCAGGGCTAGTTCAAGAACCAAACACTGGGGAACGTCGCAAGTTACCACATGGCTCTGTCGACACCTGCCTACCAGGATATTTCGAGTTGTAGCAACTATAAATGTGAAACTCCTGCGTTTAAATCCTGGTGAAATCTCGCCCGACGTCACTATCCTTAACCGTAAGATCGGCCGCAGGGAATAGCGCTACTGCACAAGTGAGGGGTGATTGCTGCAAATCCAATTTTCATTATGAGCTGGATTCCAGTTTTGTTCGGAAGCTAGAATGACATGAACTTCTCTTTAGGTCATGATCTGTTTTATCTGCAATAGATTTATCTGCAAAAAGTGAGTCATTTGAATAGCTTGGTGTTAGCCATTCTAGGATGGCATTCCTCCGATCAACTGATCAGCACAGGATTCGGATCCAGACTTATAGATAACTCTCGGTGCGCCCATACGGTCACAAGTTACACAATGATCGTTGCCGGATTCTGGCTTCACATTTGTTCTGCAAATGACTACCTTCACCATAGTCACGGTAAGAGGCCGTATGATCCGGTTCATTGCACTGCCGAGAAGAGGGTAGCAGGTCACCCCGTCAGACATATCCCCGTTACCGTTTCCCCGTCCAACAAAACCTCGTTTTTTTCTTAAATTAAAACTGTCAGTATTTCACTTTTTACGTATGTTAAGGCCGTAATAAATAATTGAGATTTAGAAATAAAAAAAAAAAATAATAAATATAACTTTAAAAAATAAAATTATAATAAAATACTTAATACACAAGACCGAATAAGATTTTCAGCGGAAAATATATTATTATAAGAATGATGATTGCCGAAAGATTGTTTATAACAAAGTACCATTTCACTAGTATATACCTAATTCACTGTTTTTTTCTAAATTATTACGGTATTGTTATAGATAAAATGTTTTCGCATAGGCCAAATACAGCTGAACCGGCCGCGATTCATGCATACCATGCAATGATATCAACAGATAATAAACACTTTCATTTTAGTTTAAGAAAAAAAAAAATGTACAGATTTACTAACCTTATAATAATTATACCTATATTACACAATTTGTTAAAATTCTGAGGTTAATTGGACGGGGAAATTAATCAGACGAGGAAATGTCCGACGGGGATGTGACCATAAACCGAGAAGAATACCCGAAGCCGTGGCATCGAAGAAGCTCCTGTTTGCTTGGATGTACTCGACATTGAGACCAGCCGATGGGCATGTGAGTTATTTTGTGAATGGCATCCCACAGAACTGTTGCAGAGGTCAGTTAATTTGACATCCGCTTCTAGTAGGCTAAAAGATTAAATGTAACAAGATTGTGCATTCCACGAATATTGAAAAAAAAAGGAATTATTACTAAGTTTTTACTCTCGATAAATCAAATTTACGTATCCACATGTTATCACCTAGTTTTCGGTTGATATAGAAAAAATGTTATTAAAATAAAGCATACAATAACAATAATTATTGTAAACTTTAATATTTTTAAAATAAAATGTTAAAAATAATTAGTAATTATTAATTATCTAATTAATTTATGTAATTAATTAATTATTTATGTTGTTTACATTAATAGTTGAAAATGAATGGCTCATAATTAATGCTCCAACGATTTTTATAACTGCACCACGCTGAAAATCATAGATTTTCCAGATACTTTGACGAAATTTAAGAAAATCTAGGAAAAATGTATAATTAATTTAATGAACAGGAACAAAGTAGTATATAATGCTTGATAAATTTTCTATTTTTTCCACATTCCCCCTCTAAGGTATCTTCTTCTCGATAATTTTCATGCAAAAAAAACATTTTACGTCAATTTTTTACATTAGCTATACATATGATTCAAATAAAATGAATTTAAAAATTCGCAGTTACTATATTTGTTCCACATAATTTTTACTCAAACGATTTTCGGGAAAGGCACCATAGTTTATATTTCGGAGCAAGTTTTCGGGCAAAAAATTCGTTCACGGATAGATAAAAAAAAAACGTAGTAAAACTAATACATTATATGGCTTCGATCAGAAACTAAAAGAAACGACATTTCGGACTCTTATTACCACCATTGAACAAGTTTAGGAATTTTACCAAGTTGTTTAAATAAAAAAAATTGGTAAGACTTATCGGTTTCAACGGTATTTTTACTTTTACCGTAACATACATGATAGTCACAATACGGTGCAATAGTCTTTAATATTTACAGATAGAATTCGAAAAAACAGACTAAAAAATTAATAGTAACAATTAAAATGTTTTTAAAACGAATTTAATATGTTTTAAAAAATAATAGTAGGGTAAAAAGTTTTGTAAAAGCGAAAAAAATATAATGAACGCGTATGGGATTCGAACCCGAGACCTCTAGAGTGAAACGCAATGTGAACACATATGCGCCACCGTGTTTGAGCAGCGCGCCTATTTTTTTTCAATTTATTTGGATAGAGGAACAAACTATATTTTAATATTTTTCGACGTTATTAAATGTTAAACAAGTAAAAAATAAATTATGTTTAGCTCAAATCCACAGTAGTAACATAAAGAAACTATAGGAAAACAATGGTAAAAATCGACGCAGTAGTTTTAAGTCAAAAGCAAATTTCTTGTAATATTAGACGTTGAAAAATAATGAAATAATTCAAAGCATTGCTTACGAAGAACAATCCTGAGTGGAGTTCAGTTTGTAGCGAGGCCTTGTCAAAAATACTTATGCTATGTTATAGTGAAATAATGAAATAGGTTATATATATTTTCATTTATAATATTTGTTTAATGTTGTTACGATTTCCTTACGTTTTTTTCGGTTTTTCTATTTTTCCCCACGATTTTTCAAAATTAACGAGAGAACTCATGAGAAAATCGAAATAGTAGCTTCCTACGCCGAATTTCTTTTAGAAAAGGTGTTACACTTGAAAATCGGAATAAGACTTTTGGTAGAAAAGTTGCCCACAGATAAAAAAATGGGTTTATGAGAAACGATTTTTCGATAAAATTGACCTATACATCAATACGGTGCAATAGTCTTTAATATTTACAGGTGGAATTCGGAAAAAAACAGACTAATAAATTAATAGTAACAATTAAAATGTCTTTGAAACGAATATAATATGTTTTGAAAAATAATAGTAGGGTAAAAAGTTTTGTAAAAGCGAAAAAAATATAATGAACGCGTACGGGATTCGAATGAAAACTGCAAAAAAGCGGTAAATATTAATTATTGAATCATACAATTAAAATACATTAAATCTTATCTTAAATGTGTTTTAATTTATATCGAATATAGACGAAATAACAATTATGATATATTTAGACGCGATTACCTACCACTTCCATTTCGATAAAAAAGAAATAATTATAATCAGTGAATACTGACGAATGTTTTTATATTTTTGCTGAATACCTATGTAAAATGATAATTTTTTTTTTTACTACCGTTGTGTCATTTACATAGTTAATTAATTCATAAATTAATATTTTTATACCATAAAAACACAAAATGAAATCATAGGATAATGGGACGGGTAAAGACACTGTTAAAGATAATTTATTGTATACCTGTAAGCAACGGTAAACCATTGCTTACGAAGAATGGTCCTGAGTGGAATTCAGCTGATAGCGATGTCAACAATATATATGCTATAATATAGTAAATAATTTCCGATTAGAAAAGGTGTTACACTTGAAAATCGGAATAAGACTTTTGGTAGAAAAGTTGCGCACAGATAAAAAAAAAAAAAAAAAATCTATGCAAAACCATAAGGTTCTTCGCTCCANAATGTACCTATACATCAATACGGTACAATAGTCTTTAATATTTACAGGTAGAAATCGACAAAAACAGACTAATAAATTAATAGTTACAATTAAAATATGTTTAAAACGTAAACAATATGTTTTAAAAAGTAATGATAGGGTAAAAAGTTTTGTAAAAGCGAAAAAAATATAATGAACGCGTACGGGATTCGAACCCGAGACCTCTAGAGTGAAACGCAATGTGAACACATGCGCGCTACCATATCTGAGCAGCGCGCCCATTTTTTTTAGTTTATTTAAATAGCAGAATAAGCCTTATTTTACTATTTTTTGACGTTTTTAAATGTTAAACAAGTATAAAATGAATTATGCCTAGCTCAAATCCACAGTAGTAACATAAAGAATCTATAGGAAAACAATGGTAAAAATCGGCCCAATAGTTTTAAGTCAATTGCGATTTTAAGTAACTTGAAGCATTTAAATAGATGGAAAAAAGTAGAAACCTTCGGGACGTTTCCGTGGTGTAGCGGTTATCACATCTGCCTAACACGCAGAAGGTCCCCAGTTCGATCCTGGGCGGAAACAACAAAATTTTTTGTACTTGACGATAAATCAATCACAAAAAATTTTCTTTTGCTACATTTTTCTCGATAAATTATTGGTTTTTTCACTTTTTATTTTTATTTTTAACATTTTTTCGGTTTTTTTTTATTACTATGGCCTAATAAAAGATTGAATTTCTCCTCCATTTTCGATTTTCGCACTTTTTTTTTTAAAATAAAATTTAGTGCGACCAGCATTGTGAAAAATCTAATCCAAATATAGTGAAATATTTATATCAAAATATTATTTTTGCAGTAAAGCAAAATATGATTTAAGTACATAAATATATATTCATATATTCAAAAAATTAGAACAAACTCAACATTAACCCCAGACTAAAAAACATAGTAAAATTTAAAAATGATACTAATGATAGTATTCTACCTTCAATTTAGTAGACAGTTGTGTATACGTAGCAATACCAAACATATCTAAAGAATCAAAAGAATGAAATTTAATTGCATTATACCGGGTAATAGTGGTTAGGTATACTCATGATCTCGGAAAATATTAAATATTTTCGGGATTTGTTTTCTAGAACATTTAATAAATATGCAGATCTGCAATTTTATATTTAAGTTATTTTTTGACACCCGTAGTTTTGGGAGTAAAACCACTTCCTACNGAGTATTAGTTAAAATAAATTTGAGTGTTGAATTTTCCACTTTTAAGTTTAGGTTGATAGATATTAAAAATGGCAACACTAAAATGTATTTTCACAAATACTCCATCTTTTTATGGACTTAAAGAAGGTTACCATTTGAGAATCATAATTAGATCGAGGATTTAATACCAAAAATAAGGGTGACGAAAAATGGGCTTAACCGTTAACGACCGAACACCGTTTCTTTTTCGACCAAGCCAAAAATATATAGGCGAGAAAGATTGTTAGTGAGAAAGATAACCTATAATAATATAATATAAGAAAATAAAAATATAGATTTTCAGAAAAAAACCTTAGGTACTTATTTTTTTCAAAAGCCTTCGGCATTCGTAAAACAGTAAAACTAGTTTTGGTTGGGCACAAAAACTGATACTTATATAAATACCAAAATAAGAAATATCGACAGGTTATCATGACATCATAGCAGGTTCATATTAAATCGTTTAAAACTATTATCAGATAAATGACATGTCAACCATTTGTGTATATTTTTTTTCTTTCAAAAAACATATAAATACACAGTTAACGTTTTCTTCCAGAAAAAATGATTTGAGATTGGTTTGCTGTAATTCGGTTATAAATAAACGTAGAGACTTGTGACTTGGTAATATTACTTATGTTAGACTTACCTAGGCGTGGTAAAATTTCCAAAATCATCGAAAAACTTTTTTTCAAATAAGCGTTTTGAAACCAAATTTAAACGAAAATCGCAAAAAAGTTTACGGTACTTCCAATTTTGTATTACTGAACTGCATTCGGAATCATCTTTCATCAAGCAATGGTTTATCGTTGCTTACAGATATAAATGAAATAACCACATGTATTCTACTTGCCCAATCTCATTTACTATAGTGGCAGCCCTCATCCCCAGTATCAGTTCATTATCACAATTTCTTCTTTAAATAACGAGATAATTTTAAAATATGTGACGTTTAATCTGCAATTACAATTTCCATTAATTTAATTATAATTTGAATAGGTACCATAATAATTTTTTTTTTATTCTATTATGAGTATTGGAATTTTGAGTTTAAAATAAATATTGCATTATGTTTCCTGCAGATACTTTTTAATCATTATTAAACACGTGAAACATTAATCATTCGTAAATATTTTTAAAAATCTACATATTATAGTTCAAGTACGGTTAGTATAAAAAATAACAGTTTTACAAAGAAATTCAAAGTCAACTTAATTTAACGCATTAACGGCCAAAGTATTAAAAAAAACTGAAAACCTATTATTTTTGTATTGGTATTTGCTAATTTTTATCATTTTACTAGGAAAACACAAATTTCAATTTGTTTGGTCAATCCAATTTTGGATGACGTGGTGCTGATCACAGTTGTATTTTATAAATGAAAAAGACGTCCTAGTTGCCTAAGATAACGGGGACGGGCGCAGTCACCGTTACACGTAATTTTATATATATATGTTAGCAATGATTAACCATTGCTAACGAAAAAACGATTATGAGCGGAGTTCAGTTGATAGTGATGCTTTGTCAATAATATATGGGTCATATTGTAAAATGGACGGTTTTTATGTTTTTTTGTGCCCACAAGTCAAATTTTAACTTTTTTTTTACACGCTAATTTTGTGTGAAATTTTACGCCCGATCGAATGGTAGAACTGTCGTGGTCGCGCGATGATATGTTACCACAGTATTTTAAAATGCAATAAGGCACAAGTCGTTTGTGAATTATAATAATTTACTTATAATTTTATTAGTTTATAAATTTAACATTTATCCAGTTATACGTCACACGATGTCTAAACGAACATTAAATTTATTGTCCCGTGTTATAATATAAATAAAAAGACAATTTAGATTTAGAGGAAAATAAACATTAATTTGGAAGGTTTTTTGCACCTACTGAAAATCAACAAAAAATAACTTGTGCCCTTTTACATGAAAAACGTCCAAATAAGTAAACAGGCATTATATATTATCTTTAATATAATATTTGTTTTCCTCACCCATTTTCCCGTTTTTCCCAATTACTCGGGTTTTTTCCGGGTTGCCACATTTGCCGGGAAAACACTTGATAAAATCGAAAAATAGCTTTTCTAAAGTACCTTCCAAGTGAAATTTTCTTTTAGAATTTTTGCTGTCAATATAACTTTGAGCGAAATTGCTGGTAGAAAATTTATCCACAGAAAACAAAATATCTTAATAATATAGTTAATAATAATAAAATACTATAATATATTTCGTACATTTTCCCGTTTTGCCTTATTTCTTTTCAGTATTTCGCATTTGATGAGAAAACTCTTGAGAAATCGAAAAATTACCTTCCTAAAGTACCTTCCCATTCAGATTTCCCTATGAAAAAGTGCTATCATTTTAAATCGGAAAGAAACGGCTGGTAGAAAATTCGTCTACAGAAAAAAAAATTAAACATCTTTTTAAAACAATAAGCTCCACTCAGAATCTAAAAAAAACACTAATTAACGCTAAAAGAATTATTGAAATTAATGTTGTGTACACGCAATTTTGGCCGTTAATAGTTTAAATTAATAGGATATTTGCATGTTCAAATTAATTGTTTAGTCAACATTACTTACCTTGATAATTGCAATAAAAAAAATTACCTTTTAACGCGTTGAATTGTTAATTTTTTAGATTTTAAGTGTATCGAATTTTTTCACGCAGTGCTTAAAAGATGATTTCCGTCCGTCATTTGAAAAACTTATTTGAAGTAGATACCTATTTTACTTACAATATTTTTTAATTTTCACAGCTCTGTTTTTTTTTTTTCAAAATGTACCGTGCCTGCTCTGAAAATGCGAAATTCTCGCTCGATGGTGTTTTATTTGTAAAAAATGATTATATGCTCCAGTCAGTCGACCAATGACGACACATCAGTTACTTATATTTTCTTAGATTTCTGGGTTATTGTATACACATTGGCGGCTATAAGTCTATAAAGAGTAAAAAATCTCGACTAACGCTATAATAACCTTATCGGTTTACCTGTAAGCTCCGTCCAGAAACGTTTTTTTTTTTTTTTTATGTCAATGATTGCTCATTGTTTTCGGTACACAATTCGACTATCGAATTAATGAAACTATTAGGCATTATATTAATTATTTTTAGTTTATTAATGAAAATTGTTCATACCTCCGTGTATACAAATAAACCTGCAAATAGATCCAAACGTGCGGACTTAATGTATGAAAAATTTTCCTAATGATTTTCCTAAAGGTAGCCATAAGATTTCTATAGTATTTATTATTATTATTATTATTTTTTTTTTTGACGTAGCTGCTTTAAACTTACTGTGAGTTAATTACATATTATGTGCACTCAATTTATTAAAATAAATTTTAAAATTATTTATTTATATATATTATTTTTTAATAAAAAATATTTTTTTCTTTGTCTGTTGTAAAATTCCGTTATTATATTAAATAGGTTTGTTTTCGTTTTGCTTTAAATTTTAAAATAATGACATTCATTAGCATGTTATAATTTTGACCGTTCATTTTCGGTTTTTTTATTTATACTTCAACGTTTTCAATTATTTTCTGTACTTCCAATAGTATAAGTATTTAGGATTTATTTGATCTAATACTAAAAATTAGCTCACCGAAATTAAACACAATAACGTTAAATAATGTTTTCATGGGGAGATTTTCGATATGTTCATTATATAAAACAATTGTATTCAAGTTCGACTTTGCAGTGCGAAATGATCATCTGGAACATATAGCTATCATAAATAGGTATTACAGTTGTAAAATGCATAGCATAGGTAGTAAAATGTTTTCGTTTTAAATTTGGTATGGATTCCGGTTGCTATTGGAATTTGGAAGTACGAGTACACGTTTTTGCTATACATTGCCCGTCAAAATAGACAGTTTTATTGATGAATAAAAGAAATATTATTTAAGAAAGATTTATTTTAGTATATTATATTTGGTATTATGCATAATCGTTAGTATTAACGATTATCTATTATGTTAACATGGCACAATTAGATGGTTAGGTTCGAGGAAAAAACCTAGTTGCGCCGACACACTTTTTTATGATGATCTTCTGAATATCCACGTTGAATAATGGGCGTTTTGTCCGTCTCTGCACATTACAGTGTTTCGGACGGGATCGGTTTTAAACCAGAAAACCAATACCGTTCGGATTTTTTTAATACCTTTACATATTTCATTAATTAGGCTCAGGTACCGAAAACCCACATGTTTTCCGACTAAAAAACCTCGAGTCATTAGGATTTAAACATTGTGGTAATAATCGTATTATAAATAATAGATATATTATTGATAAAAAAAAAAAAAAAAGGCACGCCGGCTGGATAGGATCGAGGAACGGAGTCGTGTAGTATAGGGTAAGGTGTATACTAGTAATATTATAAGTAAAAAAAAAACACAAAAGTCGATATTACTGTTTAAAAATTCTATTACCTAAATGATTTTTTTTTTCTAGTGTCTAACATTTATATATACGTTCAACATAACACTTTTTTCCATTATTTACACGAGTCTTATATATTATATAATAATATTATATCATAATTTTATGGAAGTTTCCAAAGTACATTAATATCATATCATAATAATATTATCGTCGTCGTTTTACAATGCGTAATTTACATTATTTTTAGTTTTTTTCTTCTACGACGTTGTTCATTATTATTCGCGAGTAACGCACGATGATAATATATAATCAGAAAAATAAAAATAATTATAATAATACACAAATCCAGTAGGCATATAATATAATAATAATGTATAATAATATATACAACAAGGATGATGATAATAATAATAATATTATTATTATCTATCGAGATAATAATTATAATAATAATAATAATAATAATAATAATAATAATGATGATAATAATAATAATAATAATAATAATAATAATAATAATAATAATAATAATAATATTACGCATAATATTTTTTAGAAATAAAATGAATTGAAAATAAAATAAAATAATAAAATAATAATATTAAAATAATGATAAATATCCTTCCAATTGAATATTCGTTAAAAATTTTTTTTTTTCAGGCGGTTTCGCGGACGAATTTTTATTATTGTATAAACCCGGCGATACACTCGCGCGTCAATAATAATATTGTAATAATAATATGTACACCATACACATGATACATTGTAATATATTAAACATAATAATATATTTTATAATAGTGGTATGTATATGTAATATGTTTCGCATAAACCAGTAAAAGAAAAAAAAAAAAAAAAAACTTAAAAACACTTACAATATTATCATAATAATCATAATATAATGTATATTATCACCTGCAGTTTAAATTATTTTGAGTTAATAGGTACACTGCAACAGTAAAAAAAAAAAAAAAATTACTACGATTGTCGCGGCTCGTTTCCTCCACTACTATTTTGTTAATTGTTAGACGGCAGGCCAAACTCTGTAACAAACGGAAAAATACAAATCAAAACAAATTGCAACAACGACATGGGAAAATAATACAAGCAGGAAAAAAAAAAAAATCATCGGCAATAATACTGTGTGTAGGGCGATTACAAGAGCAACGGGCGTTTAGCGTCTTTAATAACCCACGCGGCCCCGAGGGCGAATATATTATTTTTAGTCGAATTTTTCACGTGCCATATACAAGGTGATCCATTCCATTGGGTATACGCTCATTATCTCAGAAATTTTTGACTTTTTCCGGGATTCGTTCCGTAGAACATTTAAGAAACCACCTGTTCTACAATGCAGAACGTGCATTATTAACACGCCGCGCGTCGTACAGCCACACAAATGATACTCCACTACTACTCTCCTCCAACCAAAATCTTAAAAGTGGAATATCTCGTCAACGGATTGACGGAAGTCAAAAATTGTCAACACTAAAATGTGTTCGAACTAATACTCTAATTGTGGAATTTTAAATATAGGTTGCTATTTGAAAATTAAAAGTAGATAGTGGTTTTTCTCCCGAAAATAAGGGTGACAAAAAATAGCATGGATGTACAATTGCAGGGCTGCTTGTTTCTTAAATTTTCTAGAAAACTAATTCCGGAAAAAGACAATAGTTTCCGAGATAACGAGTGTACCCAATTAAATGGATTACCCGGTATACGTGTAGGCAAGTGCAAGAAAGCCAGCGCTATATAGGTGACACTACGCGATAATAATATTATGAGAATAACGCGCGAGGCCCGGAGGTCGGTTTTGTGACGTTCGTGTCCGGAATGGATTTATATTTAAACAACAATGGTGTTTTTAAATATATTCGTACTTTTGTATGTGCGTTTTTAAATGATTTTCGATAAAAATATTCGAACACGTATATTATCTTCTGAATATATAGGCCGGGTCGTGTCTGTAAACGGTTTTCCGTTCCAGAAATCTCGTTCCACAATCAAAAGCTTTATCGGAACTTTCTTGTGTAGCACTTTTGATCTACTCGGTGCGATGAGGAGGGCTATTATTTTTTTTTTATTTTGATTTCCGCGCTGGTTTTCTTAATAGTTAAGAAGTATTAGCGTTTGGATTACGTATAAATTAAATCGTTCGATTATTTCTCCCGAGTTTTCGATAAAACAGCGGCTCACCCATCGGCAGTAACGTCCTTCTTTTTAAGAGTAATATCCAAACACGTTTTCTGGTTATCCTGTTTTCACTCGTTCATTCGAACACAAATATTCTGAACAGTGAACAATATGCAAAATAAAAGTATTCTTCGCAAGGCTATAACTATAATATATTTACTGGCTCGGGTGGTCGGTCTTGTATTAATCGGCATATGGCGCGATCGGTATTAATAGGTACGCGAGTTTTTCGCGCACAATGCATTACAAATAACAACAATGTAACAGAATCGTCGGGACAAAAAGCTCGCCGAACAAAACGCGTCAGGATAAGTGCACTTTTGTTTGGAAAAAAAGAAACCCCAAAAGCGTTTTTAAATGCATTGTACTGACACTCGCGTATAACGTTTCGTTTTTATCGCGCGAGCCCCGAAAAATACTCTGACGGTTTTCGAAAAGAACGTAAAAAAAAACAAATACTACAGTTCAAATAATTACGTGATAATATTATTGTCATAATATATTCGCGATGTAAATATATATATATTTATATTAATTATTTTTACGAGATTTCGCGTCGCCGAAATAGCTGTTACGGATCTTCGAATTAGATTGGCGTAATCTAATTTTGTTTGTCTTTTCCACGATTTCGGGAAAAGTGCCTATAGCGAACCCCCGTGACTTTCCACCTTTTTTTTTTTTCTTTCTGATCTCGCCATGTTATTATGTTATATTATTACTTTTGTATCGTATACGCGATTGTTTCGAATAGCTGCGGCCCGTTCGACAGAGTGACAATGTGAAACCGTCTTTAAAACGGTTTATAAAACGAGTATACGGGAAAATGTATCGCACCGAGGACCTATACGAAATTAACCATGGCGGGCCATCGATATGTTCCGAGCCGACCCTGCTCACGCATATCTATAATCTGTGTACCGTGTACAGTATTACAACAATATTCTTAGGTAAGCTCGTATATAAAAAAAAAATACGTGTACTTTTTGTTTTTTTTTTTTTTTTTTTTTTTTTGTTTTTCCTTTGTCGGCCGGTAAAATCACACACAGACGTTGGCTACATACAGGCAGCGTAATGATGCCGTCGACCGTGCAACCGCATATTCGTTACCAGAGTATGTTGATAATAATAATAACAATAATAATACAGTTTTGAATTCAGAGTGGGCGACGCGCGACGGTTCGTCGACGTACCCGTACGTAAATGTTTCTTTTTTTTTCGTACCCGCGTATTTATACGTATACTTGCATAAAAATAGTCCTGTGGGATCGCGATATCGTTTCGCTATGTTATTATTCATAAGTAGACCGTTTTTTTTTTTCTTTTTTTCATAATATATATAATTACTCTGTACGCGAATAAGTACGAGAAAATCGTGGCTCCGATGGTTTTTTTTTTTTATTTTTATTTTTATTTTTTTTTTTTTTTTTTTTTTGTTTGTCCTCGCTCGCTCTTCGGTCGATATTTTCGCTGGGAACGTACATACCTACCGATTCCTACATAATACCCGATATACCAACCTATCAACCTGGGTACCTATGTACAAAATCGGTTACGGAACGATCGTTACGCTTATATTATTAATAATGTATTTACGAAATGAAAAAAAAATAAAAAAAAAAAACCGACGACAACAACGACCGTGTCCAATAGCGGGTATATACAGCGTACACCGTACGGCGCATTATCTATTATAATATACATGCGTACACGGCGGCGGTAATGTCCGCGAGATTTTTCAGTTTAAAAAAAAAAAATTTCCCTAAAAAAAAAAAGAGAAGGTTTTTCCCTCCTTCAAACTTTTCAAAAATTCTACAAGTAAGTCCCTAGAAAGTTTTTGATTGGATCGAGATTTCTGGTACAAAAGCCGTTACATCAGACACAACAACAACAAAACATTACAGGTAATCGGGATCACCATTTCGGGACAGACGGATATAATAGTTACATCTCGAATAACATAATGTATAATTACAATATTTCATTTCATTTTTTTTTTTTTTTGTTTTCAAACAACTATTTAATTGAACTAAAACTTTAACTCTATTTTTTTCCCCCTCACACCTAATTCTTGATATTGTATTGTGAATTACGAACATTATTAAAGTCGCGGATTACGAATATTATAAACTATAGAAACCGAGTATAATAACATTATAATATATAGAGCGTATATCGCAGCAGTTACGAGT